TAGGAATTAGTAAGATACTGTTTTGCATTTAAAAAAATTTGGGCTGCAATGTTTCGTAAATCTCTTTCTTAGTACTTAGGTAATTTCACGTTTTTAAAAGACAAGCTTAATAATTACAAAGATTGAAAGAGCTTTTCTTTTAAAGGAAGTATCTTTGAGTAATTATAGAACATGCTATGGAATATGTGCTAACAGCAGAGTCCAGCACACTTGTGTTTGTTCTTGTGCATGCACACTCTCTACTTCCTGGACTGTATTTAAGAGGGAATTTACATTATAATCTTGATCTCCAAGAAACATTTTGGCTAAACTGTGCCTAGCATTGATAGTGTTAAGATACATTCTGCCTATCATCAACCAGTGTCATGTGTCCCTCCCTCCTCCCCCTACCTTTTCGCAAAACTTTGAGAGCAGAGTGAACTGAGATTTTTAAAAGGATTTTGCTTATAGAATTCAGAAATATATGAATTAAGTACTTAAATGAGTTAAAAAAATAAAATTCACAAGATCCCTTTCTGACATAATGAGATAAAAAAAAAAAGCTTTATTTCTTTCAGTTATCATTAGCTCATGTGATACTTGAACATACTTAAATTGGTCTATGTCTGATGCTTAATACATGCTTTGTATCTAAAAACTCTTCTCTGATTGATAAAACCTTGTTAAAAATGAAGACTTTGTGTCAAAACTTTCCACTTGCTTCTATAAATGTTACTGATATTTCCATCAGTACGTTGTTGGTGAACAGTGTGTGTGACCTGAAAAGATGGAGAAGCATTGTGCCTATACCTCTGCTTAGCTGCATTCATTATGTTAAATTATTGACAGTGGTTTTTCTTTTAGTTTGGCTGGTTCTATTTCTCCTCCACGATGATGTAAAAGGTTGTTTTCCTTTCCTCTTCAGCTTTCTTCTTCTTTTAAAATTATCCCATTGTCACCTATTTAAAGAAAAAGCTAACACCTGCAAAGTCTCCCTCTCTTCCTCTCTCTCTTTTACTCCCTCTCTTCTCCCCTCTTTCCACTCTCTTCCCCCTGCTCTCTTTTTGTAAGTAACAGGATGAAAGTCCCAGTTAAATTTGTTCTGTGCATTTTTTCAAGTTTCTTCCATATAGAGTTTCTCTACCCTTAAAAAAATGTAAGAGGTTACCTAATACTTTTAATAATGTTTAATGAAGTCTATGAAATATTTTATTATAAATTATAATGACTATGTTTTGAGAAGAAGTCCTGCTAGATCTAGTTGTAGTTACAGGGCAGTAGGGTGGTTATACAGAATAAGTACAGACTACTAACACAAAAATTTGAAGCTGAAGCAAGTTTTGTTCTCTCGTGACATTATAAATTCTTAACCTTCTGTATTGTAAGGTGAAACTAATTATGTGTCAGCGTTTGAACTAGATATTATAACCATTCGGCTGTGAAGCAGGTTAGCACAGTTCACTGAAAGTGTGTTGGAAGCCATCTGAGCAGAACATCAAGGAATTTAAATATTGCACACCAGTGCATGATTTTTTTATGTTTATCATGGATTCTGTTGCGTACTTATGCATACTTTGTCATATGTGAATGCTTACTGGAAAGTGTCAAGAACAGTGTTTAGAAATAACAGATATTTTATGTGAACTCTCTGCTACAAGATCTGTTGAGGCAAGACAGTCCTGTTCTAAGTAACTTACGGCTTTTTTCAAAGTTTGTCTTTTGCTTACTAGTGATGGTCACAGCTACACAAGGGATAAATGAGGAAATACAACAACAATTTGTAGGATGAGTAATGAAAAGAGGACCCACAACTGTGAAGGGGAATAGGTAGGAGATTAAAGTCTGGACTTTTTTTATTCTGTGAAAGTTAGCAGAGAGCTTAAGTGGCAAGGTTTTTGTAGCAGGGGAGCTACAGTGGTGTCTTCTGTGAAAGAGGACCTGTGTCACACAGAGCCAGTTCCGGCCACTTCCCAGATGGACCAAAGCTGAGCCCATTGGTGATGATGGTGGTGCCTCAGTGGTAACATATTTAAGAAGGGGTAAAAACCACTGTGCAGTAATGAGAGAGGAGCGAGAAAATATGAGAGGAAATAGCCCTTCAGACACCCAGATCAGTGAAAAGGAGGGGGAGGAGGTGCTCCAGGCACCTGAGCAGCACCCTGCAGTCCCTGATAAAGACCGTGGTGAGGTAGCTGTGCCCCTGCAGCCCATGGAGGTCCATCGTGGAGCAGGGATCCACTTGCAGCCCCTGTGGAGGACCCCACGCTGAAGCAGGGGGAGGTGCCTTGGTGGAAGCTACAGCCTGTGGGGAGGAGCCCTCACAGGAGTAGGTTTTCTGGCAGGACATATGGCTCATGGGGAGCAGCGAGATGAAGTATTGTGAACTGACCACAGCATGTTCTCCATTCCCCCGCAGCAGTTGGTGACGAGGAGATGGAAGAGTTGGGAGGCAAGTTGAATCAAATTTCAAAGCTGGTGTCTCCAATTAAATTGAATGGTAGAGGAATTAAAATCTTAGCCACTGTACTTTGATGTTGCCCTGAGCAATAGTTCATGAATTTCGTGAGTTTAATGTTTTTTCTTTAACTGTGTTACTAGCTTTTCGTTCCACCTATAAGCACAAAAGGGGCAAGTATAGTAGATAACAGAATACCTTTTATGTTTAAAAAGTCCTTCTCACTATTTCACAAACTTCAGAAAGTCAACTACAAGTGTCATAGGAGGGGATATGTGAAACACAGTTTAATTAGATGAGAGGACTGGGGGAGCCAATAAAGATCTTTCCAGTTAGATGAGTCAGCACAAAGAGAAGAGGGACTCCCAGCTGTGTTCATTTGCAGCTGAAATAATGAACAGAAAAATAAATAAGCAAAAGATCAAATGTAGTGAAAAGCAAACTTACCTGTTTTGAAATCAAGATGGCAGTTTTGGGTTGCATTTCCAGGTGTGTATGGAGTAAATTAGGCTTTAAGAGAGGAAACAGTTTGAGATTCATAGATCACAGTTGGGAGTTGCACTGTCTGGGGAGACACTAATGATCGAAGCGCTGGTGTTTTAACTCTTTGCTGACTTTCAGTGTTAAATATGTAAAGATACTTTTACAGAGGATCTGTTACAGAGGAAATAATTGAGTACCATGTTGCTGTACTTAAAGTGCAGTACAAGTTCTAGAAACACCAGTTAACTTTCTTTAAATAAATAGAATGGCATATGAACATTTGGGAAAAAAAAAAAGTGAATAAGTTTTTGTGTTATAGTAGGTTCTGTAAAGAAAATTATAACGATTACCTGAAGACGCTGTGTCCTGGATATTATACCTGACTAATTCAAGAGTGTGTCTGCCTTGTATAAAAGATAGTTTTCCCATGCATGGGGTAGTTTCTTTTCCCCAAAATGGGATTATAATAGATTTGAATTCTGTGTGAGTCTTTCCATTCTTTCAATTTTGATGCTTTATTGCACTACAGAGGATGTTTATGTGCTGTGTGAGAAACAATGCCAGCAAGATAAAATGGATACCTATTTTACTTGGGGACTCTTGTGGAAAATTCAAAAATTCAGAGAATTATTCTTGTTTCCTTGTCTGCATTGTTTTGGTTTATACTTAATTTCTGATATTAATTACTGCAAAAGGACTACTCCTAGGCCAATAGAAAATTTTGCTATAGTTTTTAAAATAGCTACTGCTGTAGTCAGTTACAAGTGATGAAAGCAATAGTAGACTTTTTGATACTGTAAATCACTTGTTGGTTGATGCACTGTAACAATTATTAACGTATCATTTTGCCTTGCGAAATTTTAGGCTTCATGGTTCATGATAGTTTTATAGAATTTGAAGATTAAATGGCAATTCAGTTTCATGAAACAAATCAAAGAAAAAATCATGTAAATATAGTCAAGAAAGTCAATAAGGCTTTTTTTTTTTAATAGAAAAATGTGTCAGGATACATAAAAATGAACTGATAATCATGCCTTTTGAAATCAAGCCAAGAAAAATTAATATTTCAGTGTCAGTGAAAATCTTTTTAGGCTGACTTTTGGTTAGTTACTCAGCTCTCCAATTGATAAAGGAATTACTCAAACAATAGTGGTTGAGATGAAAAATCCTTTACCCTGATTTTCTATGTAAGTAGTGGTTACACAAAAAACCTCTACATAGCAACTTTCTTTTAAAATATGTATGGGTAATTTTCTTTTCTTAAAACTCTCAAGAACCACAGTAAAACCATAAAAAAATGAGTTCAATGAAGGGATTCTCAGTTAAATATTCAGAAACATTACTGTATATTTAAATAATGTCATAATTTAAAAAGATTAATCACTTTGGGGTTCAAGCGGAGATATCTTTCTTGTTCTCATTATTTCAAACTCTAGTCTATATTATAGAGTTGCAATCCAAAAATTAAAAATCCATTTAGAGTAATACATTCAGACAAATATATGCAAATATAATGCCATTTTAGTTATATAGGTTGTGTGTTAGATTTTGATGCATGACATTAACTGTAATCTTGGGTTCAGAACACTTTTGACTACATTAAAACAGACTTTTGATTTCTTATGCTTCTTGAAATGATTTTTCTGCACTTCTAAAGATCAAATTATTTTCCTGTCTCTGATTATGGTCTAAATTTTCATGCTTCCTACATTGTTTGGGTTACAATTGTAAATTTATGAGAAAAAAAATCCCCTTAAAAAAAACTCTAGCATGGCACATTTTGGCATGTAAGATGAGAGCCTTTCAAAGCTACTTGGACTTGTGCAATAAAGCTATAGCTTCAGTAGATTAGCAAGTAGCAGGCATTGCTATAGGGTATGTATTGTTAGAAATGGGGACTCGCAGGACTATACATTGTGATGATTTACTATTCTGCTGCAGAAGCAGACCTAGGAAATCTAGAAGCAAAACAGAAAGAGTATAAGGAAACATAGAAGAATGCATGGATTTAGATAAGTAATTGAAAGAAATGAAACTTTTTTTCTTTTCTTCAACTAATACTTGCGTATGGTCTCCTCTTTAGGATAACTACACATTTGCACAGCCAGGGATTCAGAAGAAAGTGAAAATGTTGGAAGAACTTGTTAGTCGAATTGATGGTAAGTCTTAAAGGCTAAGCTTATTTCTAACTGATGTTTCATTGAAAGTGTTTAGTTAAAATGTTTGCAAGAAGACAAACCAACTTCACTGCAGTCACCTGCAATGGTGGGGTAACAATGGCCTTCCTCAGGTGAGGTGTCATCATTAGTTTGTAGCACATTGGCCTTTGCGGATCACTGTTGAGTATCATTTAAAAGAAAGCCTCTAGAGCATGACCCACTTTTATTACTTTTTATTAAGGCAATATAATCAAAATTCAATGGCAATTTCTTGCAGCAGAGTAATGACCACATACAAAAGGCAGCCAGTATTCATTTCACATTAAGTCTCAATGATTGTTGTAATTCGTGCAAGTCACAGTGGTTGTTTATGGTTATCCTGTGGCACTATGTTTTGCGCCTTTGTGCATCATTTTGCTATCTGGAATGCCTGCATAATTTCTCAGTGGAATCCAATTAATTATGAACTCTGGAAATAACATCTTTAATTTTATAGATAAATTACAGTATGTGCAGGGGTAATTTTAGATTATGCTTTCATGTTTTAGCAGGGCACTATGAAATATTTTCTACCTTCATCCTTAAAATAATTCCCTTCATGAAATGCTGACTGTCATATTGCTAGAACAGAGTTTAATTAAATGAAATGCAAGAGATAATGCTTGCCCATTCTAAACATACTCTCCTGGTAGTTTGTTAAATTAATGAACAGAGTATTAACAAAGTGTTGCCAAGCAGAACCAGGCAACACTAGCCTGTCAGTGATGGCTTGGAAAAAATATTCCTTGTGTAGCTTAATATTTGATAATCTTCTTGAAAACATTAATTCCCTCTTTTTGCTACACATACTGTGAAGTTTTTTGGGCCAGTGCTTACCATAGGAGATTTTACCTGCTCATATGTGCATCCTGAATATTTGATAATGGTCTTTGTGCTTTTCTAGGATGTTAAAGTATTTTTAATGATCAAAAACTAAGGGCAGGAGAACAATGTTTGTGTAACATTAGACTGTAAATTCAAATGTATGTAAAAATTCTTAGTGTAGGTACATTTTATGAAATGCCAATGAATATGAAAAATTAAGGGGAATATTTCTGTATATTAGGTAGCCAAATACTTACATGAAAAATATCTTTAAATCAGTTTATTTAGTTACTTCAAAAATAATCTAACTGCTTGTAATGTGACTTTTTATATGTCATTTTAGGTTTGCATCAATATATTAAATGAAGTGTATAATTGTAAGGCCTATAAATAGACTTAACTTGGTCAATGAATATTTATATAAAAAAATTGTTTAACCAAGTTTTTAAAATTAAAAATAGCATTCTGATAATACACTTTATTTTTTTATTTGATAAAAATATTCAGTATAATACAATACATTATTGTTTGGTTTTTAAAGAAGAAAGAAATGCTGGAATCTTATTTGTATCGTCAGTGATTTGGGGATATAGTGAAATAACTTCTGTGGGTTTAGGAAGATTTCATTCTTTAAAAAAATAAGACAGACTGTTGTGTTTTCTTATATTCTTATACTCTTTGTAACCGAAAGTAAAATGTGGTTCCTGATTTTTATCTAATTTAAAATAATTCTGTGAGGTCTTTATAATTTTTTGTTGTTTTCAGTAGACATTATGAGTTTTTGCTGGCTAATGTTGATATTTTCTACTGTCCTTAATACTTACAAAGTAAAATCTCAGATTAATTTTAATACTAGATCATTTCCATGGTTGAGTAGTAAAGGATGTTTTGAGAAGTATAATTGGAGAAAGCAAAGCAAAATCCTTACTATAAAGAATTTGTTATTGTCTAGGAGGTGTATTTTGCAGCTTGTCCATATGACATACCTCTAGCATATGTAGAAGAGATGTTAAGGGAAACTATTTTAAAAATTAATAGGATTACAATGCTTCAGAATGGTGGAAATTTTATTAGCTGTTTTTCCATTGTAGAAATTAGGAAATATTTTAAAAACCTGTCATTGCTCTTTGAAAAAGAAGCTAGTAATTAATGTAGTTGACATTATGGAAATTTATAATTATTTAGGTTATATGAGGCCTCTGGAAATCAGTGTTCCAAATTTCTGCCCTTGCCTCTCTTGAATTCTATCTATGGGGACAGGATCAACTTAAATCAGGCTGTGTAGAGTCTTGCCCTATTGAGTTACGAGTAATTCTGGGGATGCAGATTGTGCAGCTTCTTCAAGTAGGGCTGTTGGAAGTTTAACTACTTCATTGTGATTTTTTTTCTTTTTCAAATAAATAAATAAATAAATAATGAAAAAAAAAAAGGAACTTACGTCCACTGCCTTTTATTTTATCTCAGTGTACCTCTGAGAAGACTCTGGCTCCACATTATATGCTCCCACTAGGTAGTTGTGGCTGTTCATAGAGTTCTTTTTAAGACTGAACAAACCCAGTGCTGTCAGCCTCCTTTCATGTGTAAAATGCTTCAGCTTCCTGTGCACCCACTGGACTGCTCATGAATGCCCATGTCACAGAACTGGATGTCATGCTACAGACACGGTTTCCCAAGTGGCGAATACAGAGGAAGAATCACTTCTGATCTGTTGGCTTCTCTCTTGCTTAGAAAGCCCAACATACATTTGGCCTTTCTGCAAGGACACTTTTGACTCAGGTTACAGCCTGTTGTCTGCCAGGATCCCCATTAGGAAGTAGTTGTCAACTGGACTTTGTCCTACTGATCACAGCCTTTATAGTAGAGGGGATGCTGTGAAAAGCTTTGGATAGTAAAAGATACTTTCAATATCCTTAGGGCTGTTTCTTTTTGTCTACAAGACCGTCCACTCAGTTACTTTCTTTTGCAAGAAAAACACAACAAAGTACATGCAAGATTAAAATAAAGTTTTAGTTGTTAATTAGAGAATGATGGATGTGTACTGCTGTAATAAACTTTTGGATACCTGAAGTAAGAGATCCTGAACTTGTTGGCTTTTTGGTGGCATCTTGACAATTTGGTTAAATTATGTGTTATTGTGCTTTAGTCTCCATTTCTTTTTGCTTTTGTCTTTTATACTTGGGTCTGCTGTACTGTAGTTAAAGGGAATATATGGTTGATATGAATTCAGTGGCTTTTTAAAAAGAACGAACTCACAATCTATATTATCTGCACATACCCTAAGTGCTAATTAAGGTTCTCTGGAAGAAAATAATGTTCCTCTTGTTACATTATTTTCTTGATGCTGGGTAACTGCATGGTGAAGAGAATCTTGATGTAGTAAGTGGCTGTGTGAGTGGCTGAAGCTCATACAGCTTATTTTATAATAGTAATGGATTACTAGTGTATAGAAAGTGATGCTTTTGCTTTGGAGAGTGCTAATGCATTATGTTAGGGATTCAAGCAAACTTTATTAACCCAGCATTACGGATCACAGCTCACCTCAAAGAAACTGTCCTTGTGTTTACACTGCAGAACATTGCAGAAGACTTCAAACAGATAAAATACTCTCTTAATTTAATCATAATCTCGTTCTGCTTAAACTCCAGAAAACCATTTTGATGAATTGTGGTTAATGGAATTTTTTAGTTTGTTAATTATCGTTGTTATAGATGAGATGGAATTTGAAGATAAAACATTATTCAGTCTCATTTATCTCCTTGTCATCATAATTCAGTTTTTTTTTAGGAGTTATACAAAAAAATTAAGAGGGATGGTCAATAGATGGCTCAGTAATGTAAGAAATCTGTAATAACTAAATATCTTTTCTGTTTCCTGTAATGCCAGTAGATCTTTTCTGCTGTAAATCATGAACTATTTCTCATGATTTGTAAAAGGTCATACTCACGTGGCATGTTATCTTCCACTTTTGCTTCATTTAGGCTTGAAAGCAAAGAGACATGGTATATGAATGCCAAAATTAATTCAGGATTTGTGTTTCCAGAATTTAGAGGTGCTTAGTGTTTGGCTAGTTTCATGCTTGGGAAAGTCTCAATTTCTTCAGTTTAGTCTAAGACATCTGGTAATTACATTAGAGCTTGAGGTAGAAGTCTGAGCATTTGTGGATAAAAGTAGTCTTGGGTTTCCACAAAAATTGATAAAAGATGTTAAAATTGTGAAGCATTCTCTAAAATTAGCAAGAAGGCAGTTCTGTGAAAAAGACCAGCCTACTGTAATGTTAAACACTTTTTATTTATGTTGGCTTCTTACTAGTATTGCAGACAACTATAAAGGCAGTATTGGCGACTCAACTTAGTATAAGTATTCCGCATCGTGTGAGGATAAGTTTGAAAAGATTTTTTTTTCTACATCTTTAATAGAACAGCTTGGCCTAGGGTTTGCATTTGTGTTCTGCACAGCCCGATCTTGTTTTTTCTTGTAGAAATTCTGTGCTATTACTGTTCCAGATTTTTTCACCAGAAATCACCAATCTTTTTGCAGAATTGACCCTTAAATCTTAGTAACAAGTCAGGGAAAAATAAAAATGCAGAAAATTATTAAAAATAAAAATAAAAAAGCACTTACTGTTACTGTATATAACTTTCTTCTTTTCTTGAAAATGGAAGTGATGGAAAAATACCAAAGAACATAAAAAGAGTGTTGCGTTTTGACTTTCCCATAAGGAAGTTTATCTAGAATTCAACTACATTTTTTCAAGTTTCAGTAATATTTTAGAATTTTCACTGTTTCCACTGTGTACGCATCTTCTAGTCATCTGTTTTGGATGACAGCTATTCTTACACGTGATATTTTAATAGGACAATTTTTAGTTTGTTTCCATTTTAATGGTACAAACAAAATTACATCTTTTTTTTGGAGGGAGATATTTTTAGTGCCAAATTGAAGCTGTTATGTTTGGATTATTTCAAATAATGCCTTTTAAGAAATGCTACACAGTATTGTTTAAGGAAATGTTTTTACTTATGCCTAAGTGCAGTTAAAATGCTCTTTCACCTTTTAAAACCATGACTCCATTAGTCATATTTTACTTCTTATTTCTGTCTTGGGTTACAAATATCTGGATTGTCCAGTTGTCTGAA